AATTGTCACAGTTAATATTTCTGCCGATGAAATTTAATAAATTGGGGTTACGTCTAATGAGTCTAGGTCCTGCAATTTCATGACTAACGCTAACACCGTGACTTGTATTAAAACAGATATTCAATGAATACTAAATTATCAACCCAATCAACATTTGAGCTTCAGAATATTATGCTGATAATTGTGTGTCGGATACAAATCTCAAACATGAATGATTATGAGCATTCCTGAGCTGGAAAAATGTCAACGTCCATACGATACACAGTACAGAGTTTTTGTTAGATGCATGGTTGAATACATTTAAAGATATCAAATTAATTAAATTAATCTCAATGTCACACGGGTGGGTTGTGTTACTATTTGGATCATTACAAAGGCTATGCATACATATAGTGAACTATTTTGTTACGAATCTGTCTACACTATTTGTGGTTTTATCGTTGCTGCATTCGGACGTACATATGTTTGGAATACTTTACGTATACGAAAAAAAAATAATTCGAAATTGCTAAAAGCAGTCCGAAGCGTTAAATCGTTCATTTTTGAACATGAACTCTAGTTAATGCAAAGCACAGCAAAGCAAAGAGAGACGTCCCCAAAAGAATTCATTGGTTTATTAAAACTGCGCTTGCAGAGTTTAATTATCAACATTTTTTTTATATTTTATCTACTCATCTCACGCGTAAACTCAAGTTGGCATATGATGACGTCACTGTATACGTTTATGTGGTTCTAGATTTCCGGTTAATCGCCGGGGAATGACAATGATGCCCGGTCTTTTTATCACCCAAGGTTACTCATAAAATGTCGGTATTAAAGTGTCATCTAATGAACATTCGTGGTAACAAATTTATACTGTATGCGTTTTATTGTGTAATTTACAATAGCAACAGTGGCAGTTTATGTCGAGTCAAGTTGTATGTTTCCACGTATGAATTAAACGAGTGCTCTCGAACGCGTTACGCGTGCGCAGAAACCATTTATTTGCATCTTATTTACGATACTAAATACATAGTTGTAATATTTATCCATTTATGATCGCTAAAGAGTATAGTATTCCACGTGCACCTTATGGAACGATACATCGAATCCTAAGGTAGTTTTGGTAAAATTCAGGTCAGATTAATTTATTTCGATTTATTGAAGTGAATACTCTTTGACAGCAGCCATTTTTAATTTCTCTCAAGTCATTACTAGTCTGTGTTTCTTAAGAAAATGTCGAATTATTAGTGAATAACTGGACTACACGTAATCGACACTCATTTCACTGAACAAATATTTCGAATTACTTACGTCGGACTGAACATTATCACTGTCTAATACGTGATATTATAAACATTGTCCCAACTGGGCATTTATGGATATGCATTTATATGATATAACGGCGTGTAAATACTTTCACGTGTTTTAGAACGAGAACTGTTAGTATCTGGTGTAACTACGTACATTAGTTGTACATTTTTAGTCGTCGATATTATTATTTTATTATAGTTTTAAGGTATAATTAACAATGTCGAGTTTAATCCCCCACCTGCTACCAGAAAACACATTCTTGTTATAACTAGTGGATCACAATGCACAACACGTATTAGGAATTTTAAGCGAATAGTTTCCCTGTAAATCTCTAGACTTCACGCTACATAATAACGGTACTTATATCTATATTTATATTGATCTGTGTTATTTAAAGTAGTTTGCTACCATAACAATTGATCACAGTAAATCATTCAAAATTGTTGTGTAGTGATTCATATACATGTATGTCATTCATATTTAAAGTTTTACATTTACGGCCATTTTGAAACATTTTCTATAGGAATCAATGTAAACACATTATTCCATTGATAACTTAGACCAATATTTTTAATTTATTTCAATGTAAACGTCTTAACACTACATATCATTGTTAGCATTGGACACCGAACAAAATTTGTAAATACGACGGATTGTCCCTCGCTATATTGAAATGTTGATGGGGAATTTCCCATGGAGTGTATTAACTCCCCGTACGAATCTTGTTTGCTGCCGTTGTTGTGCTATACAATTTTGATGAAGCCAGGATGGCCCAACGCCATATTACCTTTTGAAAGCTCGTCATCTTGACATTGAAATTAAAACAAGAAATTTAAGTTCAAAATCAAATCATTCCGTTTTTGCGACAAACATTTGGTGCGCAGCTTACATACAATTACGTGAGTTCTCGCAGTGAACGGATAAACACTTATTGCAGTGGGAATGTATGAGTTCTCTGGTGATATTTATACCCGGATCATGTAGGTGTCAGAAAGTTAATGTACTATAAGTAAACTGTAGAACAAATCAAACTGTGACATTATTCACGTGATCAATACCGGGCATTCTACTCTAGGACAGAAGTAATTGCTTTAGCGATGTGTTATTACTATTCACTCATGAACTTTTTATCCATAAATTAAACCAAGCTGACATTAAACTATCCTGACATTAAACTAAACAGCAAGACCGAAGAATCCCCACTGTTGACGCTGGTGCTTCACGTACAA